ATTGCAGGAATTCGCGACCTGTGAGCGACCTTGTCGCCGGTCCACATTCCACCAACGGAAGCCCGTATTTCTCGCCAGCGTACATCATCACCATCGCCATAGCCATTCGTACCGCCCCTGCGCCATTTCTCTCCTCTATTTTGTTGCCTTCCACTTATTCACTACTTTGCATCGAAATTATAACTATATTTATGCTACAGTTTGACGCTTTGCCATTCACAAAACTAAATGTTACCTGATCGGGATTTTTAGATTATTTAAAGACTAGTCCATAAAGAAACCACAATAAATCCACAATAAAAATGAAATCGAAAGCTCCAGTCATTATAATGTGCAGCGACTTGATGAGCATATGCAACTGCCGATCTTGGCGGATGTTCTGAGCGTTTAACATCCGAAAAGTTCATTTGCTCCTATGCTTTACTACTTTTTACTCATTTGTACTACCTAATTACCTTCTATGTGCAAGAATTCGGTCTAACAAGAGCGCATACGAACTCCTCCNAATCTTCGACTAGATAGAATTTTATTCTTTTTTTGATTCTCATGTATTCCGCAGAAGAGTCAGACTCATTCGAGTGACTGTCGGCAGTTAGAGAAATTGCCGCAGTAAAAAGATTTTTTCCATCAAAAGTTTCTTGAATTACTGCGACTCCGCGATTCAGATGTTTATACTAGTCTTGGTGAGGTTAGCTATTACAAAAGTTTGTTATACGCATCTCTGCACTTTGACGTCCACTAAAGTTCGGCCTCGATTTCCCACACGTTCCCACACCCCGATCTCTTTCCATTCACCTCTTCTTCAGTTCTTTTCATGCCTTTGGCGGATGTGAGGTAGTATGAGGTCCGGAGATCAATTCTCGATCGAAATCATTCGTGTCTGGCTGCCTATGTGGTACGGAGCAGATTCGGAACTTCTGCTGAAGTTGCATTGCAATTTTCAATTCAATTCTGTGTACAAGTCTCAGAAGACCAGTCTTGAGATTTCTACCGCTTCAGTTTAACATTTTTCCCCTTCTCTTTGAGATGTTCAGGCAACATCGGAGAGCAGACTGTGCCTTCAAAGGTCCATTCCACCATACTTCTTGAAGTAGTCATTTTCGAGTCAAAAAAGGATGTATTGACGGATTGGCGGCGAAAAAAGCACAAAAATTTGTAAGATTTGGAAATGTAAACACCTTGAATCTACTCAAAGTAGAGGCTACATGAATTGTCTTTCTCTGTCGTCATGTGTGGGCACAAAATAAACCCACCTTCTCATTTGCTGGTTGTAGAAAAGAGATTAACGGAAAAGGACGGTATGGGACCTTAGAACAGTTTAGAGCACAATCAGTGTGGACTATCAACTTTTTAAATTTCCGGCGTCATGCCCTATTGTTGATTTGCAGGCTGCACAGGGCCCTAAAACACGGTCTCAGGTGAAATACTTTTGTTCTGGGCAAAAAACTTGCAAATCTTTTTTATCGTGTAGTGCGCTTTCAGAGATTGAGGAGTGGTGCCCTTCCATTTTGCTGTAAGCCTATCTTTCCATCTTTTGGTTCACAATGCCATCGCAGAACATTGAATCCTCTCTGCCTTCTTAATGTCAGTTACCAGTTATCTAGACTTATTGGACTGTCAACAGATGTGCAAGAATGAACTAATAACATACTCTCTGGGAAAATAATGCTGAGAATTTTTCGTCTCGAAGCATCCAATGAGTTTCACTGGAGAGAATTACACAATGTACCAACCAGTGAATGCTGACCAACTCGATAAAATATTTTCAGTTTTTAATTTCCTTGGGGTTCGATCTGACCTCAACCATCTCCATTACAGAAATCTCTTTGAGTGCTAGGCAATACTCAATACTACCGCAAAAATCCCGGAGTTTGAAGCTGTTTTTGTAGGGTTTGTCGTTTCGACTGCATGTTCTTTCACATGCATGTCGCATTCTTTATGAATAGGAAAATATCCCCCTTCTCTTGCCAAAATACATTTTTGCGAACTTCAACGGGGTGAGACAGTAGGGAAAAGTGACAGTATTCCCGTATACACCACCAGAGATTAGGAACGCTTAATTTTTGCATTCAACCCAAGAGTCTCTTATAGCCAGTGGCTCGGTTTATACAGAGGTAAGACTGAAACTTACTCATCATAACCAAGATGTAGCTCTATCAAAGGATTTCGTTTCGAAGTCTGAAATTTTGGCCGCTGCTCTCAAAAGTACAAGTTCTAGGTATTTGAGGATTTCAGACGAGTAGTTTGCCATAGCCACTTGTGGCCACAAAATATTCCGATAGTTTTGTAGCGTTTGTAATTGTGAGCAAATGGTAATGTAGAGGAAATGGGAATGAATCTTTGTAGGCCTGAAGGCAGAACTGATTCACAGCTTGAATACCCCCGAAGCTGACAAACAATGCGTCACTGCGCTATCAACTCAAGCATGTTATGAATCAGACGATAGGAATGATTTGCGCCTTCATATTTGCTTTATGTTTCGTATTCCTCGATGTCCTCATTGTTGCGACACCATTTTGGCAAAAACACCAACTCTTCGATTTTGTTTGAGTAACTCCTGGATTTTTAGTCTAATCTGATGCGTATGTACGACGCATATAGGGCACATCTTACGGTGGCTAGTGTTTCAGCAGTCTTTTTTGAGGGCTAATTCTAGGCTCTCGATGTGAGCTCCAATATCCTTTCATTTGATTGAAACTTAGAGCTCTCCACTGTAGGCACAGCATGCATGTGATAATGCAGGTGCTGTGTGTGAAAACGTGTGAAATTCGTGGAGATTTTTGCATCAATTATGTGTGTGTGTATATGCATGTATGCATGGATGTACACATGCATATATGTATGTATATGTGTGCATGTATGTATATATGTGCGTATGTGTGTATATACTTTCCACCCAAAATTTCGCACGACATAAGATTACTACCACCGTAAGCTTTACTTTGTAACATTTGAAACAATCTACAAAAGTACAATGTTATGTGCAGTAGTGGGCGCTGATCAAACTGGGTACTATGCATTTGATTTATTTTAGCATTGCAGGCTCTCAGCAGTGTTCCTTCCCATGTAATCTGTATATCCTAATGCACAGAATGGCTAATAATATGTTGAGCTCACTAATATTCTGGAGAAAAAGGAAAAGGGCGTTGAAAAGTTCCAGTAAGTACCCATAGAAGGATAAGTGGACAACAAATATTGTTGAATGTTTGATTTTTTCTTAGTTTGAAACAAAAGTTGACGTGGATCTTTCGTACATCCCAATGAAAGACATGCGTGATCATAGCTATCCGTAGCGAATGGGCCATGTAGCGTCACGCTGCTATGATTGAGACTTTTGCACTTAATACTCAATCACTTGAGTATCTCAGTTTGATTCTGCTGCTGTTGCTGTTAGAGGTTGGACGAGATACGTTGATAGTGCCTGCACTGCTCAGAAAGTCTGACTTTGGAAAGGCAACCCCTAGACTGCTTGAAAGCACACAAATGTACATTTATAGATTATAAGATCTAAATCCACTCGCCTCCGGGTATAAGCGTCCCTACCTACTGGATTTTAGCAGTCAACCGCTCTGTTCTGTTCTCGACTCTTATAACGAAAAATTGTTGTTGAAAGGAAAACTGCATTTTCTGGCGTCTACATGATGAGAATTTTTGGTCCATTCTATGTCATTTACAAACTAAGAGAGGTTTAGTCCCAAGGCCTTTCGCTGAATGATACGGGAGAGATCACACAATAGACAGCATTAATTGCTTCCTACTCGAAAGCATCATTTGGTGCATTCTGCTCGCACTCTTCCTTAAAATTTCAGCGGCTCTAGGAGGGAAACAGGTGGCAGTCACCCCATCACTCCAACTCCTACCATAGACCATGAACTGTTTGTCAAACTTTTCATTTCGTCGTAATGGTCCTCTATCTATGGCTTCATACGTTACGTGACAATTCTATGATATGAGGGTATATTCGCGTAGACCAACATTCCTACCACAGACAGCTTATTTCTCCGAGTTTCTGATAATTCAGTGAAAAGGTAGCAGCACCGAAGTAATGACTGAGATTTTGCAAGAATCTAGCACTTTTCTCGTAATCTGCGCACCCCCTTCTTCGATGATGCTGAGTTTTTCATACAATCACCTTTTCATTCACTGCCATCTCAATCGGTTGAGACTATATTGAACCCTATTTTTCCTTAATTGTTTGATGCTAGCGTCGTATCAGATGCACAAGACGATTTTGAAAGAACATTTCAATGTTCGCCTGTTTGCTTCGATTCATTATTTCTCTCGTATTATTCTTCTGAACATTTCAGGTCTGAAATGTCACGCGTGAGCGACAATACCTCCTATCACAAACTGATGACAGCACCAATCGCTTCTTTGAACAGCTTGATGCTTCAGACGTGCTCACCTTCCACTGCCACCGCTACTCATACCCCAGGTAAGAGCTGTGGGCATTACGTTCGTGCTTATTCATTAGCGATGTGTGAATAGAGATCGTATAGATCGCAATCGTGTGAAGTTTTCGCATTCTTTAAGTATTTGTACGTTAGAAGGAGAAAAAGAGGTGTCACCACTAGCACTTCCTCTTGTCCTGCTTCGGGGATTTTTTGCGGGTCTAATTCGTTGAGACTTCGAAATTTCAGGAATTTCTATGAGTCAGCTATGAGTTTGTCTATAATATATTGCTTCCAGTCACTGATCTGACATCATCACTTGCGTGTTCATTGCTGTCATGCAGCATTCCCAGCGCCACAATGATATCACCGCCACCACCGTACCATTCCATAAACCACCATCGTCCATATCACAACATCCATCCCCTGTTTGACATTCACAACCCAACAGCGGTAAGAGCATTCATACCATAAACCGATAGTTTTTCTGAATAAAAACATTTTCTGAGAAGTTTTGTTGTGAAATTGAGTGTGGCTATTGTCCTTCACTTAAGATCAGCATGTTTTTACTCTAGTTGAACTTTGAAGCTAAAAATTATATGACTGAGATTGCAATGTAATGGATCGATTCCCACAATAAAACAATGTGAATTTCAGATTGTCGAATCAGACGTCGACGTGATCGGTCTATCTCAATCGACGAAACAAGTCTCAATAAGGGATCACGACAGCGAACACAACGACGAGGTGAATCGGTTGTTTGTCTTTTCTGAAGTCTAGACAATTATCAATGCTGTGCTCGAGGGAATAATAGCCATTTCAGCCTCTGGACTTGTCTTTGAAAAGCTCCACATCCTCATATTCACCGACAACGTCACGACCAAGTGTGATAATAGAAAGCCCAACAGGTTTTGTTTTCTATGGACACCTCTCTCAAACTTGACGGTAACATAACCGCTACGAACTAAAGACTTGTTAGCCCTTCTTGTCATCGCAGTTTGTTAATTTCAATCGGCTGATTACGATAGCACAAACCTAACAATTATTGTTCCCCTCTGTAGGTCCCCAGGTTTGAAGTGAAAGGCCCGAGAATCTTGAGCCGTGGACTAATCTGCATGTATTGTCACAACAAGCATAACTATGAAATTATAAAATTCTATCTCCTCCCAAAAGCATAAGAGCGATATTATGGAATCATTTTCTGCCCCCCTCCCTAACGTTTTTGTTTACTATCCCATGGGTAAAAGTAAAGGTCGCATAGAGGATCTCTGCAAGAATCGTTTTAGGCTCCATAAACTTCTCTGGTGGAATAAAAGTAGAAGTAGAGAACACTGTTTTCAGTTCGACACCCACCAGTCCGGCGGAGCGCTTCTTCTGTGTCGTCAACACGAGAACACGATGTTCACGAACATTTCCGAAGATCATTAAGTGGTAAATGGCCAAGGCGATCGAAGACCGACGACGAGAAGGTGAGCTTACTACGGCCACTCCTCGGTAGGTAGCCCTGTGACGTCAGTTTTTTCAGGCGCGAGCATCTCCGATCACCAGAAGAACCTCATTCAACAGTCACGGCAGCTCCAACTGCACAACACAACCGCATGTGATTGTCAGCAACAGCGGCGTCGACAGTGAGTTCGGCTTTATCACAAGTATCGCATACATCCGGAAAACAGCAATTTTCCAGTTGTCGATCATTTCCGACGCGCGTTATCCGAAAAAGATTTCGAGAACTGGCAGCGGAAAAGAAATGCCACCAATGCCGCCAATGAGCCATCCAAATGACACGTAGATGTGTGATATGTAGTGTTGTTTATGTATTGCATAGAAATCTATTGTGAAATAAATGGTGACTCCTTACGTTGCGTCATTCGATACCATGGCTTTATTCTAAATACATGACTATGACGAGATGTTCAGATATGTGAGTTCCACGAATTTGGAACTACCAGTGTACTCTAAAGCCATCCTCCCAAATAAGGATGTAAATGACTTTAACGTTGTGGCAGAACGGAGCAGTCTTCTCTTCTATGTAGTTTAGAGAGAAGGAGTTTCTTTCTTGCTATTGTTTTGGCGTCAACGGATCCCATTCCATGAAAAATCTCTCTCAAGGAAGGGTTTGTAGCAGGTGACCCGAAGTGCAGGAAAATGGAAGTGCGGGCCAAACGTCACACGTACCTGCTCGGGGGCGCAGGTAGCCTGAGGTGGATAAACTCTCTGTTCCTCTTCTGATGAGTCAATTTACACTTTCTGTATTTTCACAGGTGTATCAATGGATGCACACGTGTGTGGAGAGCCTGTGGTTGCGGTTGAAATCCTGCACAACCAGCAGCCAGAAGTTTGCATTGAAGTGACCACGAAAAAAAACCCTGAGTCGATTTAGAGGCCTCCACTGATTAAGCCCTTCGCCTACCAAAAAACCACCGACAGTTACTCTACAAACTTTCTCGCTATTGGTCTCACCTATTACTTTGATGGAGTTCCTGAAAAGACACTGCAGAAAGGATAGTGAAGCACTCGAAAGTGAACTTCATTATCCCCAAAAGAGCGGCATGGCTTCGTTCAAGGAAAATCGGCCGAGAACCAAGTGTTAAAATGTCTAAATTACTGAACTTCATCCTTGAGTAAAGCCTACCAACGTGATTTACTGGAATTTCGAAGAGCCATTTGATAGCTCCTTATGATGAACTGTTAGTTGAACTCAAAATGGCACGCATTCACTGCAAAATCCCATAAGTGGATAGGTGATTCCGTGAGCTTGTCGATGGATGCTATTCTTCGTCGAAACCTGTCCCTAGTAAGGCGCCGCAGAGGGCAGTGTCTTATCTACTACGTATATGATTCTGTTTAACATCTACACTTTTGACATGACTGAAGTTTTGAAGCCGCTGGGGATAGTATTATACAATACTCACTCCGAATATTCAAAAAATCACGAAAAAACGCGGTTTCGCTTATTTTCGTTTTTTCTCCGCGACTAGGTTGGTTTTCATTCTTCTTAAACAGTATACTTCAATGTAGTGTCCTGCACATCTTCAGAATTCAATTTTGAAGCTTCCGGTCCATCAAACATTCTGAGGATACGTCATTAACGTTTGTTATAATAATGAGGAGAGCATCCTCTTCTATTGAAAGTAGTCAGTGAGTTTTTGAGCAGCTAACATTTGCTGAAATTGGATGAAAATTAGACAATGCAAGCCTCAGATTGCTCAGATAATTTTGATACTAACTTTTCTCAAAATGAATGTATTTGGCCAACTTCAAATTACAGCGGTTTTTCAAAATGAAGAAAAGCAAATATGAGTTGATTTCTGGTCTTAGTGGATTATATGCTGAAACTCCAGAACAATCTTTCTTTATATCGTGAACTTTGTTGGTTTGACTTTAAGAGAAAAAGTTATATAATCGTTCACAATACGGTACGCGGCATGTTCAGCGTACGTTTTCTTGCTCTTCCAAGTAAGATTTCCGATGTACAGGGAAAAGCTACGCACCGCTCTGAAATTATTCACGGTGAACCCTTTGTGGAGAATCACTAAATGAAAAAATTGGAAATTCGTATATTCGTGTGCCGAAGTTTAGGCAAGCTCCTTTATTTGTTTAGAACACCATTATCGACTGTGTAGATATTCGAGTTAGATGCCAACCACGGTCGATCAGGGACAAAGGGTCTCCATCGCTCTCCTAGCCTTTTCTATGTATGATCCTGTTTTTCATTTCGTGTATCTATGGTCTTGTGCTAGCCCTACTCGTAAATTAAGGTGTTGATAGTTGCTCGATACTCTCACTATCCTGTAACTCACATACAGTAGCGCTCAAAAGTCTTCGGTGAAATGGCTCTTTAGCCGTACTTTTCAGTCGTAACTCCTCTCCTACTAGATCTAATCATGCGAAATTTCTATATTTGGAGCGTGGGTGTTTTGTGAATATTTACCACTACTAACCTGCAATCTGATCATGTTCCAGATATTCCAAAGGGCATGAATTCCAAATCGACTGAAAATACAGATGGTGGTCCTTCTAGAATCTCTTTCCTTTTTGTCATGTCCACAGTGTACGAGCGGTAACGTCGAACACAAAAGATGAGAAAAACGCACATAAGGTGCGAATAAGTGCAGACGTCAACAACTTTAGTTTTAGCAAAATCTGCTACCGCAACAAACACCTTGCTCTATCAGAGGATATTGCAGCTTTGCAGTCAAATAGTGTTGGGTAGAGTGAAATATGCTCTAGTTAAACATGTCCAAATTTCGCGCGATTTGGTCTACTAAGAAAAAAGTTATGAACGAAAAACCGTCAAAGCATTTCACCGAAGACTTTTGAGCGCTACTGTGGTTATTCGAAGATGACTAGACTCTCTTCAGCTAAGCATAACAACTGTCATTACTACCTTCTTTTGAAGCGCGTGAAGTTGCACGCATAAATAAATAAACAAATAAATAAATAATGTGGACTACAGTTGTATTATTTTGTTTTATTCATCTAGATTAACGATCTTTCTTATCAAAACATTAAACTCAACCGAAGTGAAACTGCATACTGCGTGGCTGTAGAAAACCTAACTTTGCATTTTTTATAATAGTTATAACCACAAACATGCCATAGTAACAAAACAACAATTAAGCGTGAAGCACAAGTTCTGTGTGATTTACAAACGATTAACACCCAAATAACGGTGACATCCACTGCAACGGAAATGCACTCTTTATGTGTGAAAGGGATAAAGCTATGTAGGCCGAGTGTCTGGCTGGAATTTGAATTTCCCTTCGAGAACCTCCTTCTTATTTTAGCAATAGGGCCTTTTACTTTCTCCAAACTATACCTCACTGGCAGAGTAGAAATAGAGGAAGAAGCGTCTGCTGCCAATAGACTCGCAGTTAACTCTACACATGGAAATTGGCGGACGGGTTGCTCGGGACATTTGCCAAGTTGTTGCGGCAATTATATAGGTTCTAAATCAAGCAATCGATGCGGGACCAACAACAGCCATGTTCAAACCGATCGATGCAACATTTCCTCTTATATTCCTTTTTTCTACCCTATTCTGCTAAGATTCTAATTTGTTAGCTGTTCTTTCCTCAGTGCTGAATTCTGTCTTGGTGCCGTTCTACTGGATATCCCAGCACTAAACGAAGTCTGAGCGTTGTTCACCTTTTATTTGTATGCCATCATTCTGCTGATATTCTATTCTACTTGTTACCTATTCTACCTCTGATTTTTAAAATTTGTATTTTGCCGGGACGCTGATCGATCCTGCCAATTTCAATCCGCTCTTTCTTGATTAATGATTTTTTGTTATTGTTATATTTAAGGCACTATGCAGGTATTGTTTTGCATCTCGCTTGTTGACTTTATTTCTTTAAGTGCTCAATAGGTTCACGTTTCAGAAAAAATGTAATTTTTTCACCATTCTAAGTTGATTCACCTGTTAGGGCTTTGGTATTCCATGCTGTCTGTAATTTTAAAAGTTTTAATCTACTTCTTTGTTCCGACCTTTTGCCTTTATAATTGTTCTTGCTCCTTTTGGAATAATTCGTGAATTACTTTCATATTACATTGTAGTGGAGAGCCGATCACGGCCTTCGCACATATGCACACATATGCATGTATGGGGAGGTCCTATCCTTGAGTTATGCGCGCCTTTGGCAAGGATTGTACCCAATGGATACCTCGATACCTGGGATAGGTTCCGCCCATTTGGCCTCCATAAATAGAATGGTCCTTACTAGCTCTGATGACAGAATTTCTTTATTTAGAAACAGTAATTTATCGGTATGAACTGTTCTGTGAGAATTTCTTCTGTTCACTTCTTGTTGCTTATCTTCCCTCAAATGCTGTCCTAAATACCTCCTGATGCGGCAGCGAAGAACTGAATCGAGGGAGGCCCTTCATTCTGCCTCTCAACTCAGCAGCTCAGCAAGTCTCAAATTCTGTTTCAACAATTTAGTCCATTAACCATTTACAATAATTCATAACACATTAATTCAACAATGTGGAATATTTCGGCGGAAAATGAGTAGTTCTCGCCGCGTCTGTGCCGTTTATATTTAACTAAGGTCTTCTATTGAACAATTTTGTTCATTATCTATTTACAATTACAAGATCATAATTATTCCTACAATATGCAAAAATTCAGCGGTGATTTTTCATATCTCACACATCTTTATTGCACTTGACCCTTTATTGCATTGCATTAAACCTCGTGTTTTAAACCCACACTAAACATAGATACTTTATCCCTATCGTAGATTCCCTTCCTGCAAGCTCTACAGTTTCAATGTTGCACGCCTTTCGCACACACGCTCACTCACACACACCCAGCAGACATTCTTGTGTCTGCGTCCGTACCGTGCGATTGCGTTTCGCTGGGCTCTGATGACTACCGCGGGATTTGGTGATTCGTGGATCGAGTTTGCTATTTTCTTCTGAAATCCGACTTTTTTCTTGTTGATCACCAACTGTCCACGCTGCTGATAGTGAGAAGAGTGTGAGCGTGAGATATTTTGCAGCCACTTTAGGTCTTTTGGGTCAACAACGACACTTGTTTCGGTAGTTTTAACGCTTTAAATTAACGCCACGGTTCACGTGGCGTTTGATAGTGAATTAACCTGTTTGCTCCTAGTTCTCGGTAGCTGTAGCTATGGCTGGTAAAAGTCCCTCACGAAATTCAAAAACGGTGTCTCAGAAATCGCGAAAAGTTGCCGGTGTGGCACTTGATCAGTCCATTCAATGCGAACCTCGACTATCGGAATTGCTCGGTCTCTGATCTTTTAGACGCGATGTTG